GGGGAAGGAGGGAGGGTGTTTTAAGTAAAGAAACATTTGACTCAGTCCTGTTACCCTGGTAAAAAGAAACAAGCCTACACCATTCTGAGCAGTTACTCATATTTCCCTGTGGCAGCTGCTCCCTTTCTGGTCACTGCTGCATTGCATGGCAGAAGAATAGTTCCTAGCTGCTCCACTGTCTTGGGCTGCAGAAGCTCCGAGGAGAGCAGAACAGGAGGCTGACTCAGGGTACATCTGGACTGCACAGCTCCAGATATGCTTTTGTATACTCCTAGGCAACAACAGCTATGCCTCACTGTCCAAGCTAACTCCCCTCTCTTGTATAGCCACAAGGGCAATGGGCACAGAAAGAAGGTGAGAACCAGTTCTCAGAAAATGGAAGGAGCCTTGCAAGGCTAGATTAGATATTTCCATGAAGCTCTGAGATAAAAGTATTTTCAAGTATTTAGTTATAAGAAGGGTTCTTATCAAAAAGAATGTGCAAGCTGCCCTGCGTTTTAGCTTCATTACACAGCTAGTATTGTTCCTAGTATATCTGCTAGTACATATGTAGCAGCATACCTTTTGTCTAAGAAGTCTACACCCCCCCCCAATGCCCAACTGCTTAGCAAGATAAGTGTTGGGGAACAAGTAGTCTGCCTCATATTTCTGGGCTAAATTCAAGCCAAGTGGGTTTTTTGTTTTGTTTTTTTAACTTAAACCTTTTTAAAACTTTTTTGTAAACTTATAAACGTGTTTATATGTAGTGTATTACATCAGTTTTCCTTTTAGACTTTTAGTGCTTTTACATGCAAAAAGCATGATTTTAACCCTTATATTCCATTAGTTCCTATAATCTCTTACAAATTGGTGACGTTTATTAAATAAGATAAACCATCAATGCATCAGAAATGCATGGTACTCAATGAAGGCAGAAGGCATACCCAAGTTATACTGTCAGAGTATCACAGAGCATTAGGTCTGTAAAAAGATTAAGGTCCAACAATGTTCTTGTTCCCACTGTGCTATTGACTAAGAACAGGTTTGCTTAGGTAGTAAACTAATAGACCAGGTCCTTTAGAACAGAATTTTATCTCAGGGCACTACTAGCACCCAACCCAAAAATTCAAATGTGAGCTTGAAGGGAAG